GATGTCAATCTCAAAGGTTTTAAATGCCCAGACTCATCTGACCTTGCCCCAACAATCAGCACCATGGGTTCTTCTAAGCAGTTGTCTAGAAAACTGAAACTGAAAATAGTTGACGCTCACAAAGCTGGAGAAGGCTATAAGAAGATAGCAAAGCGTTTTCAGATGTCAATATCCTCTGTTCGGAATGTAATTAAGAAATGGCAGTCATCAGGAACAGTGGAAGTTAAAGCAAGATCTGGAAGACCAAGAAAAATATCAGAGAGAACAGCTCGCAGGATTGTGAGAAAAACAATTCAAAACCCACGTTTGACTGCACGATCCCTCCAGAAAGATCTGGCAGACACTGGAGTTGTGGTACACTATTCCACTATAAAGAGATACGTGTACAAATATGGTCTTCATGGAAGAGTCATCAGAAGAAAACCTCTTCTACGTCCTCACCACAAAAATCATCGTTTGAACTTTGCAAATGAACATATAGACAAGCCTGATGCATTTTGGAAACAAGTTCTGTGGACCGATGAGGTTAAAATTGAACTTTTTGGCCGGAATGAGCAAAGCTATGTTTGGAGAAGAAGGGGCACAGAATTTAATGAAAAGAACCTCTGTCCAACTGTTAAGCATGGGGTTGGATCAATCATGCTTTGGGGTTGTGTTGCAGCCAGTGGCACAGGGAACATCTCACGAGTAGAAGGAAAAATGGATTCAATAAAATTTCAGCAAATTTTGGATGGTAACTTGATGCCATCTGTGAAAAAGCTGAAGTTAAAGAGAGAATGGCTTCTACAAATGGATAATGATCCTAAACACACCTCGAAATCCACGGGGGATTACATCAAGAGGCGTAAACTGAAGGTTTTGCCATGGCCTTCACAATCTCCTGACCTCAACATAATTGAAAATCTATGGATAGACCTTAAAAGAGCAGTGCGTGACAGACAGCCCAGAAATCTCAAAGAACTGGAAGACTTTGAGGTATCTTTGCCCATTCTTCCTTACAAAACAAGAATTGAAAGACTCTTGGCTGGCTACAAAAAGCGTTTACAAGCTGTGATACTTGCCAAAGGGGTAAGTACAAGATATTAACTCTGCAGGGTGCCCAAACTTTTGCAGACGCCATTTTTTTGTTTTCTGTTATTTTGAAAGTGTAAATGATGGAAATAAAATCTAACTTTTGTTGACATATTATAAGAATGTCTAATCTGTAATTTGATGCCTTTTGGAGATTTTTCCATCTTTCCTTGGCTTCTTTATGTACATTAATACAAATTTTTAGCTGGGGTGCTCAAACTTTCGATCCCCACTGTATATGTAAAGTGCTGCGTAAATGGACGGCGCTATATAAGTACCTGAAATAAATAAATATATGTCGGGTAAACTTTGCCATGGTCACGATGTTTCACGCCCTCCATCCGCTGCCTACTTAACTACTTCAAGTCCGGACACTTTTACCCCCTTCCTGTCCAGGCGAATTTTCAGCTCAGTGCTATCACACTTTGAATGACAATTGCACGGTCATGCAACACTGTACCCATATTAATTTTTTAGCATTTTTTTGAGACAGATAAAACTTTATTTTGGTGGTATTTATTCACCACTGGGATTTTTATTTTTTTTGCTATATAAATGAAAAAGTCCCAAATTTTTGAAAAAAAAAAAAGTTTTTCTTATAAAATTTTGCAAATAAATAATATTTCATCATAAACTTGCCCAAAATGTATTCCGTTATCTTTTTAGTAAAAAAAATAAATAAAAAATAACCCAAATTAGTTTATAACCAAAAAATATCATTTTTAAACTTTTTTTTTTTATATATCATTTATGTTTTTTGTTTTTTACATACTGTCACCCTAGCAGTACAGTTTCACCATGTTGACAGTGTACTACTTGTGGGGGGTGATGAAGATTTTTTTTTTTTTTTTTTTTTACACTGATTGCTTTTACACCCATAAAGGCTGTAAAAGCAATCATTTCTTCTTCTCTCTGGCCGCTTTCTTGCAGCCATTGAGAACTACTGTGTGAGCTGTAATTGGTCACAGCTTGTCACATGGTACAAGGCTGTTGTGCATGGCCTTGTACCATGTGACCTCTGATCATTCACAGATTTCACACGTAGTAAGCAATGTCAGAAGTGACATCTTGCTTACTACTCGGCATGTGTTCACTGATTGGCCAATCGTGGTGATTGTGAGCTCCCAGGGAGCGCGCACAAGCAGGGGGCGGAGAGGCTGTTTATAAACGGCCACCCGACCCTGCACTGCCACTGTCTGGCCATTTATATACAACGGCCGGATGGGAGGTGGTGGTTAAAGGGGGTGGATGGCAGGCACCAAAAACACGGCTCAACCACGTATTTTTGCCACCAACCCCCCCCCCCCCCACACACACACACTTAAATGAAGCCTTAGTATGTACATGTCTGATCAATGAAGCAATGCTTTACAGCGGGGGTTGGCAACCCATAGATCATGATCTTCCAGCAGATAGCAGCTAGGTGACTGGTAGATCGAATGCAATGCAGAGGGACTACTTGTAAAGTTGGAGCTGTAGTACGGAGCAAGAGCCGATGCTGGCTCCTGTCCCATGCAGATTGATACCACCTGCACTCCAATTCTTAACCCAGCTAGCGGTCTCCAGAGTGGTGCCAGCAGCAGGAAAAAAAATTTTCAGGTCAGTGTGAAATAATACACTGGGCATAATAGTATAGGGCTGCATTCACAGATGCACTGCAGTTTGCCCACATCACGGGTACAGGGCACCTGCAGCTTTCCTGAGGGTTAGCTGCGCTTATCCATAGACTTCTACTATATCCTGCAGGTTTGGTGCACTTCCTGAAAGCGCACCAAAACGCAGCTAACCCAGGAAAGTTGCAGATGCACTGCGTGCACCCACGGTGCAGGTAAATCACGGCACATGTGTGAAAGCAGTCTTCTAGGGGGCTCAGAACAGTAAGCGTTCATTTAAACTTTCAGTTTGGGAGGTGGTAAAACCCCAGATGTGTTTTTACTGCACCCGCTTTAGCTACAGTGGCCAGGGGTGCACACGTTGCAGCCACAGCAGGAATTATATGCCCTGTCATGGTTGGTGGGTGCAGCACCTGCAAAGCATGACCCATTCAAGTGAATGAGGCTGCCCTGAAAGTGCCCTGCAACCTTGTGCAATACAGCAAACAAAGGGTTAAAGCAGGCAGCGTTGTGTTGCTTTCTCACCACTTGCTTTAACTCTTTGGACCCCGCAGAAACATGCAGTTGCGGGGCACTTGCAGAGTGGCCCCATTTACTTGAATGGGTTGCGATTGGTTGGCAGTAGCACCCACCAAAAGGAACAGGGGGGTTGAATTCCTGCTGCAGCATGTCCAAACCTTTGGCTGCTACCTCAGCAGCTAGAAGCAGAGATTGGGGGCGGTAAAACCTCCTCACCACCATTTAAAGTCATGATCACTGTTCAATGCACACAAATGTAACACACTAGTACGGCAATTAGAGGTTGAAATCAGGTGTGAGGAGGCGACATGGTGCCCGGTGATCTTTCACTTCTCCCATGTTGTTCAGGTACATCTCCACCTCAAGGTTGCCTACCCCTGCTTTACAGCATGTTGGAAAACTTGCAGTCCAGAAACCATGTTCGTAATCAATCATTGCACACCTTTCAAAAAATTATTGTATGGAGTTATTGGATCATTGGTGCCCAATTAAAGGGGAGATGACAGATTCACGACTTTTCATAATCCCAAGCAGAAAAACAGAACATTTTGTGTACACTACCAGAAAAAGCTTCTTACTGTACAATACTTGACTAAAGACTGTACATACTTACTGCACATTTAGTAGAATATATCTACATAGCATTTTACATGCTTTGATGCGCAATGTCAAAGTACAATGCAACAGGTGTCAGGTGTTGCAAGCCCAATCAGCAGGAAATGTGTCAATGGAGCATGGCTGACAGGCAGAGATTACACAGGTGTCAAACTGGTGGCCCTCCAGCTGTTACCAAACTACATGTCCCATGAGGCATTGCAAGATGGACAGTTACAAGCACGACTCCCAAAGGTAGAGGCATGATGGGACTTGTAGTTTCGCAACAGCTGGAGGGCCACTAGTCTGACACCCCTTGTAGCTGAAGACTGTACTTTCACTTTGTGATTTGTTGACTATATACAGAGTTTCAGCCCAAACTTTGCTTGTTGTTGGATGAACGGAGTGAGAAAAGCTGCTTGAGGGACTGGCACCTAAAGTGGATTGAGAGTGACAGGACAACACTTGAGGAAGCTTTGAGGGACACTCGTTTTTCCATACGGTGCAACCCATCTGAGTGCATTTTCATTTGCTTCTATTGACTTTAATAGAACATGCATGTGTCCAAAACAGAAAAAAGGTGAATGCAGCCTAAAAAGATGAAAAAAGTGACACAAAGTAACTAGGAAGAAAAAATTCCATTTAAAAAGGATGTTTTTAAGATGTGATTTTTGGTTATTGGCAATTAAAGTGGCTGTAAACCCTTACCTATATACAGTGAAGTGAAGTGATTGGCCTCAGTTAAAACAAGGAGATGAAACAAATCCTCCTACAAAAGTTGTACCTGTTAATCTGAAGCCCTCTTTCCTGGACAGCCGTTTAAAGTACATAGCCCAAAAGCTATTATTCTCAATGTGCAGCTATCAAATGCAAACAATCAGCATTCACGTGTTACAGACCTGACCCTCTTTAACCACTTGCCTACCAGGCACTTATACCCCCTTATTTACCAGGCCAATTTTCAGCTTTCAGCGCTGCCGCACTTTGATTGACAATTGCGCGGTCATGCAACATTGTACCCATATGAAATTTTGATCATTTTTTTCTCACAAATAGAGCTTTCTTTTGGTGGTATTTAATCGCCACTGGGCGCTTTACTTTTTGCGCTATAAATAAAAAAAGTGCAAAAAATTTGAAAAAAAAAAAAAAAAGTTTCTTTGTGTCTGTTATAAAATTTTTCAAACAGGTAATTTTTCTCCTTCACTGATGTGCGTTGATGAGGCAGCACTGATGGGCACTGATAGGCGGCACTAAAGGGCACTGATAGGCAGTACTAATGAGGTGGCACGGATAGGCGGCACTGATAGACAGCACTAATGAGGTGTCACGGATAGGCGGCACTAATATGCAGCACTGATAGGCGGCACTGATGATGGGTACTGATAGACGGCACTGACTGGCATCACTGCTGGGCACTGACTGGCACAACCGCTGGGCACTGACTGGTGGCACTGACTGGCAGCACTGCTGGGCTGCACTGGTGGACAGCACTGGTGGGTGGGCACAGGTGGGTGGCACTGCTGGGCACAGGTAGGTGGCACTTCTGGGCACAGGTGTGTGACACTGCAGAGTGGCACAGGTGGTGCACTGCTGGCACAGGTGGGCGGAGCTAGTGGGCGCACTGCTGGGCACAGGTGGGTGCACTGCTGGGCGGAGCTAGTGGGCGCACTGCAGGCACAGGTGGGCGGAACTTGCGGGTGGCACTGCTGGGCACCGATCATCAGTGCCCTGATGATCGGTGCCGATCCCCGCTCTGACAACTGCCGGTTCTCGGCAGTACTTTCCTCACGATCTGACAGCGTGAGGAAAGTGCAGCCGAGAATCGGCACTTGCATTTCCCTCTGATCAGCGGGTCATTGGACACCGCTGACCACGTGGTAAAAGGCCGCTGTGATTGGCCTTTTACCACATCACGTGATCAGCTGTGTCCGTAGGACACAGCGATCACGGAGATCGCCGGGTGGTGCGCCCCCTGGGGCGCGCAGGAGAGCGCGTTCTGGGAGGACGTCATATGACGTCTACTCAGAACTGGCGGCCGCAGTGCAGCCGTCATTCGGCTATCTGCGGTCGGCAGCTATTTAAGGATAGGTTCACAACTATGCAGTTTGCGTTTGACCCGTTTCTGCATTGCCTTTTTGCTGGGGGTTTTTTCTTCTCCCTAGGCAGATTTAAAACGCAGCAAAAACGCTTTTCTGCAGCGTTTCCATTGAAGTCTATAGAACCGAAAACGCAACTTTTTGTATTCAATAAAAGTCCCTGACCCTTTCCAAAAAACTAACCAGGTGAAAATGCTGAGATGTGAACGTGTACCATAGGAAATCATGTTAAATGGACTATAGTGCGTTTCTGCAAAACACTTCGGTGTGAACCTAGGGTAAAGGATAAGTTCACCTTTAAAAAACACAAATGCACATTTAAAAAAAAAAAAAAAAAAAAAGGGCATTTATTAATTTTTTTCACTAGGAGTCTAGAAAGCATTGCAACCACAATCAGCAGATCACGGGTGTCATGCAGCACTCCTGCAGACCTGTCAGTATATCTGTGTGCCCGTACCTCATACGGGCAAGCAGATACATTGTGAGATACATACAAGTTCCTACACATCAATATTGTTCTTCGCTTGGCCTTGCAGAATAGGCCAGCAAGGCTTTAGAGTGGTTGTAAAGGCTCAAGGTTTTGTTTACCTTCATGCATTCCTCAAAACCTTCTGTGTACAGCTGGCCCCCCAAATATTTACGATCCAGGGATGTGCACGAGAGCCTCAGCTCTCCCTCCTCATCGAAAGACAGCAGCACAAGCCATTGGCTCCCACTACTGCCATGCACAGTCAGTGAGCCAATGAGGAGAGAGAAGGGGGCAGGGCTGAGCCGCATCGGTGTGTGAATGGACACACAGAGCAGCAGCTCGGGAGCGAGCCTGCTCGAGTGCCCCCAAAGCAAGCTACTTAGGAGCGGCGGCAGTGGGACCCGAGAAGAGGAGGATCGTGGTTGCTCTGTACAAACCAATTAATTACAAAAAAAAAAAATGCTTTTGCAATAACTTTAAAATATTACTAAACCCAAAACAGTAAAATCAGTCTGTATATGCAGTAAAGCATGCTTGTTATACTCACTGTGGAACCTAAGGGGTTAATCCTCCGCACTGTTTCTCCCCTTCTTTCACTGTCCCGGACTAATCTCATAAACAGAGCCTTGGGGTAAACTGCACATGCTCAGTTTGGTTTGTATTGCTATCTCTTCTTGGGAGAGTGCATGTGATCAGCACAGGGCCAATCAGCAATGTCCATATAGAGGATCAGTGGCCCTGCAGCCTCATAGGGAAGAAGGAAAACTTTGCCTACAAGCTTTAACCAGTGCTCTGCTGGACACTGATCGAAGTCAGAAGACTGCTCTAACTACTGATGAAAAAAGGTGTTTAGCCATTTATATTTACTAAAATAATTGCATTTCCATGTTCTGTGTACTGTGGGAGACCAGATATAGTCAATGCAGGGTCCTGGTATTAGTAACACTTTAAGATAGTGTAACTGCAATTGCCAAAAAAATCCCATGTTAATAAGAGCAGCAATGAAATTTCTGCAGAAATCGTGCAGGTTCCATTCAGGGGTCCAAAACCATAATCAGCCAAAAGCTTGTGAATGAATGTCCTGGGAGGAATCCTTCCACCAATCAGCGTGGTTTTAAGTTACCAATGGTCAGCTGGAAAGGGGAATGTGGAAACTTGCAGAATTTTAATTCTTTTAACTTCAACATAATTGCTAGAACAGATAACATTATAACCTATTAGCTTACATAAATGTTACAGAATTGAAACAAATCTTGGAGTACATTGCGTTCCACAGACGTTCACCTGGTGGAACAACATGAGGCTGTCCAAATATTTTCAGAGGTTACAACACAGTCCCAAACTGCAGTACAAACTAAGCACTCTACCCTAATAACGGAGTACTTGAATCTGATTGTAGATGCAAGTTAATGAGTATGGGAATGCTTCTGTTAGGACAGCACCTAAAGAAACAACTACATTTTATACAAAAGTCATTATCCTTTTATTGGATTCAGGTTAAATATGTAACCTTATGGTGAAGTGTAAAATTTTGCTTTGTGTGCGTTTAGGGTGTCTACAGCCTACATGGCAGTTCAGTCTCTCAATTGGGGTGCCACAGTATCCTGGTAAAGAAAGGCATGTGTATCAAACCCACCTCCGGCTCCTCTGCCAAACGCTGGCACAGCAGGAGCTTAGTCAGTAAAGTGAAAGAAGTGGGAGGGGGAGAGGGAGTGTCTTCCCAAGCATGTGCTACATGGCCGAATGTAGGGGGATGCTTGGATGGGCTGTGCCCACCCAGACTGTAGCTGTGTCTCTCCCCCCAGGTCTCTGAGAGTGCATCCATTGATCCATGAGTCAGCCAGTTGATTCAGACAGTTGAAGTAAGGGGGCGCTCCCGACGGGGGACCCTGACGCAAGGAGGTGCTCCCGACGGGGGACCCCCTGACGCAAGGAGGCGCTCCCGACGGGGGACCCTGACGCAAGGAGGCGCGGGGGGACCCGACGCAGGGAGGGGACCCTGACGTAAGGAGGCGCTCCGATAGGGACCTTGATGTAAAGAGGCGCTCCGATAGGGACCCGATAGGGACCCTGATGTAAGGAGGCGCTCTGATGGCAACACCTGATGTAAGGGGGCAAGCTGATAGGAACCCAATGTAAAGGGAGACTCTGATAGGGACATCTGATATAAAGGGGGGGAAGGTTCTGTGTCAGCCTAATACACACTAGAGTTTCCCAGTTTTGACATTGTGTGACAGATTTCCAGTGACTCACACAAAGTGTTGACAGTGTTCATCCCTCTGATGAAGTCACGCAGGCGTGATGTAACGCGTAAGGGTATGGCTGTGGGCAGACGTGAATTGTGTAACACTACCTGGAAGTGCAGCTTATCTGGTAATGTTTCTTACCTGATTTATGGAGTTCTTACTTAAATTTACATGATTACAACACTTTATACCATAATAAAGATACCCTTGTTAGTACATACTGCACCATTGGAGTGTGTCTCCTTCATTAAGGACGATTATCTCAGACCTCCAACCCCCCCCCCCCCTTAAAGGGACCAGATCCCATATCTGGCTTGATGTGCTTGAAGGCTTGATGAGAGTTCTTTGAGTACTTAGGTGATACCGTCTGCATGGTTATAGCACTTATCTAATGGTGCAGATGAAGAAGCAAATGAGCTGTGATGAGTTGGATTGTTCACAGTATCACTGATTATTTCACATAATATGGACATTCATTTAATATTTAGTGTATACTACACGCTATACACCTTCATATATGCTTTTTGTTCATTTATTTGTTTGCAGCGCAGCACTGTTTTATGTTTAACTCCCCAGCATGTTATCCTATGGGTCCATGCACACAAAGGCTGTAATCAGCGTTTTTTGGCAGGGGCGTTTTTTGGCTGGAAAAAAAAAACCCAGAACTAGTGGGTTTCTAGAGGAGTTTTTTTAGCTGTAAAAACGCTCTAACACAGAAAAATGCGGTAAAATAGCATTTGTGGACTTTTGTCTGAGCAAACAAAACCGCTAAAAAAAGCAAACGTGGAAATACGCTAACAAAACTTGCATTTGTAACGTGACTTTACACAACTAACGCTGCCAGCGTTATTAAAAATGCCCAGTTTACATAGAGCCTTAATGTCATTGTCAGTTTTTCAAAGGCAATTGCCCGCTTTTTTTCCCACTTTACTTTATAGCTCAGAGAAGGAGCTGTCATTTGCCCCGCTGCTAAAGTAAACAAAGAGGCGACCCCCACCCCTTGGTTTACTTTAGTAGAGGGGCAAATGACAAGTGAGGAAGCCTGTCTGTATACACTGCTTGCCTCCTCTCCTGCCTTTTTCCACTGCTGCCCCCCCATCTGCAGTACACACAGCCCCCCAAAACCCCCCAGCCAAATAATCAGTCTGCCCCTGGTTAGGGCCAGGGACTCTCGGGCCGCAATTATCGGCACTTGTATCAGCTCACTATTTCCAATTGGCAAAATGCCAATTGGGCTATTTTTGACCGATATGTTTTGGTCGCCGGAATTCTGGTGCATCTATAGTACGAATGTATAGTATGTGTGTGTGTGTATTTATATATACAGTGGGGAAAAAAAGTATTTAGTCAGCCACCAATTGTGCAAGTTCTCCCACTTAAAAAGATGAGAGAGGCCTGTAATTGGCACCATAGGTAGACCTCAACTATGAGAGACAAAATGAGAAAAAAAATCCAGACAATCAGATTGGCTGATTTGGAAAGAATTTATTTGCAAATAAAGAACTTCTAAAGAACAGCAAGTTTGTCTACGTTTCAGGAACGCACACAATTTTGCACACGTTCCCAACAAGCAGTATTGTGAACCAAGCCTTAGACTGGAGTGCCTTAAAACTGAAAATACTTTACAAGGGCGCCCTAAATGGAAAAAGGTTGAGACATAGTTGTACACTGTAGACGTTAACTCTACTGGCAGAAGAAAAAAGCAAAAACGCGTTTAAATGCAGCTCCGCGTTTAGCGCTTGGATGTTTATTCATTTCATTGGCCAGAGTACTTG